TTGCCTCTTCACCTCCATTTCCTCCTTACAGGCTGCTGCCACCTCTCCTGCATTCCTACCACTACCTCTTGAATGGGGCCCTACACCCAGTGTCACCCTCATATAATTCATTCTACACACCGAAATGAGAATGTTCTTTCTGAAAAATGAGTTTCAAGTCCAGTAGACTCTTCATCCTATTGCCTTCAGAAGAAGGTCCACCTCTTGGGCCCTGCTTAACACATCCATCCAACCCTTCTTTTGTCTTCTGCTAAATCTTCAGTTCTCCAAATGGGCTGTGCTCTTACACAGATCTGGAGCACCCTTCTCTACCAGTTATGGCTAACTTGTACATCAGTTCCTAAATTAAGAAACCCTTTCTGATAGACAGCCCTTTCTGCCAAGCCCTGCTCCATCCCAGAACCCCACTTCTCACCCTGCCTTTGCCAGCCCCCAGTTTTTTGTATGCCCATCTTGATGATTTTGTTTTTTGCTTCCCTCATATGTTTATCTCTATCCCACAGTATTTAGAACTCCAGATTAAATTTGTCTGTTTTTCTCACTCAAGTGTGAGCAACCTGAAAGATGGAACTGTGTCTTTTTTTCTATATTTCCATCTCTTAGCCCAGCATTTAGAATCCAAGAGATGCTTTCCCTTATGTTTGCTAAATGAATAATAAAAGAAAAAACAGGCAAATGAATTGGAAGATGCTGTAAGAAGGCTAAGGTGGTAGATTCAGTTCTTATGGGCTGAACTGGTAATCAGTTCAGCACAGACCCAGAATGCCCCCAACAGTCTGGTCTGCTACTTTGCAAATGTGGGCCATTAATTTCAACAAAGGAGACCAGGTGAGAGTCAACCACAAACCCACTTTTGGGGGTAAAATCAAAGTGATGGTGGACAGAGGAGGTACCTATGATTCTGTGGAGCAATACACTTTGTTCTGCATTTACAGAGAAACCTGTTGAGGCTTTTCTCAGAGGAAAATGCTGATGTCACAGCTTCAGACCTGATGCTGAAGCCATTACAGTGGGCAGCAGGCAGATGCTCTCCAGAGTTATTAAATCTGACCATTTTTTAAGACTGCCCCCAAGGACACGAAATAAGAGCAGAGATGAGAGAAAGAGAGTTTCCTCTTCCACTCCCAGCTGGCAGGGGGCCAACTGATTGCATTGTGTGTCACATAGATAGCTCCATTTGCTCAGCATCCAGCCTCTGAGGCCCAACACAAACCAATTTCTGCGCAGTTCTTCCAGTGAGTGCTTTGGTCTTGTTGATCTCACAATTACATATAGAAAGACTTAACCATGAAACATTTCAGTGTACCGATCACTCAGCTTGGTAGTCATCACAGCCTCTGTGTGTGTGTGTGTGTGTGTGTGTGTGTGTGTGTGTGTGTGATCAGGCCAGGCCTAAGATATTGCACCAAATATGATCCTGTTTCTAAAAATTTCTACCTTTTGAAACACTACTGGGATGATCTATGTTAAGGTAAAAGTGAGTTTCTTTTCTGATAATATTAAATGGTGTGGCATCCAGAGAACTAGAAATGCCTGATATCTGCCCCAGCAAGCTCCTAGAGTCCAGTTTGTGCACACTGAACCAGCACAAGGGAAATGAGTATGTTCTCAATTGTTTAGCTAAGCCAAAGTCCAATAATCCCCAAAGCAGAATGAAATGGTAAAAAGTGAAACATAAAACACTAAACTCTCCATCCCGTCCCCCAGTCTAAATCTTGGGACCATTCAGGACATACTTACTGGGAAAGAGAGCAAGAAGGAAGGGGAGAAAGAAAGAAAAATATACAGAAAGAGAGAAGGAGAGAAAGAGAAAAGAGAGAGAGAGTCAGTTAATTATCCACCCAGCCGTAAAGATCTAGGCACAGAAAGCAGACTACAGGGCCCCTGGGGCATTGCCTAGTTTACAAATCCACTTCTTGGCCTCTGTGAGAAGAAGAAAATGTACAATACAACTAGTGGGATTCAAATCCAGCTGATCTTCAGAGTCGTCTGAGGAGCATCTGAGGGCCCTTCCTCTTGATCTGATTTAATAGATCTGCAACGAAACACAGACATCTGAATTTTACTAACGCCCCCAATTGGAGAAATATTAGTGAGCCTTTGTTTTCTCTTGTCTGGTGAAACAGAATAATAATTTGGTGAGTTTGAGGTAAAACTTTGGTGGTAGAAGGCAGGAACAAGATGGAGAGGATTGGTTTCATGGTAAGTATGGTGATTGCTCCAAGTTTCCAGGGTATGAAAATCTCAGGTTGCTGCTTCTGATAGTCTGTAAAAGAAAAATGATTGTTTATTGCCTTTCCACTAATGCCACAGAATGAATTACAGTAAATAGGATCAATAAACAACCAGATGGCCTTGCAATTTTCAAGGGTAAGGCAAGTTCACCCAGCAATCATGCATCAGCCTCATGCACACTTGGTGAATGCCCCATCCACCCACTTACCAGAGCAGGTCAGAAGGAAAAATCATGGCCCTTCCATTCTTGGGACACCATCTAGGACCTTTATCCCATCCAACCTTTGACACCCCTTAGACAACACTTTTTTCTTGACTTGATCCTATTCCTATTTTCTGACTTTAGATAAAGTGAATTCCTCTTTTATATGACAGTTACTCAGATATTCAGAATTCCCCTTCTCCAGGGCAATTTATCGCAGTTGGTTATATTTGTTTGTGTTAAATCTAGATTTTAATAAACCAACTAATTTGCTTAAGCCTTTTCAAAGTCTCTATAACATAAATATTAAATAACAATTATCAAGTGAAAAAGCCCATATAAGATCATTCATTTCTCTATTCTAAAGGATGGTTGGTTTTTATATGTGTATTTGAACGAGGTTGTTGTTTGGGAGAGATGTTTTGTGGTGAGCACAGGGGTGGTGGGAAGAAATCTGGGATTCTGGCTCCTTTAAGAAATGAAGCTGAATTAATAAAGAAATCTTCCTTCAGGAGAAAGGGCTCTTAGTGCACAAGGTAGGAGTGAGCTGGAGACCAAAAACATTATGTGCTGATCTAAAATGAGAAATGCAGGCAGTGAGAAAAGGGAAAAAGGAAAGCAGACATGCTGGTTGCTCCAGAGATTAGGTCAAGAATAGCCTAGAAATAATAGCAGTGATCCCAAAGCAACAGGATGAAGGGACAGAGGCCACTCACACTTGTCCCCTGAAATGAAAATTAAACCTCTAAGAATAGGTAGAACACACTGGAGATGAAAGTTAACAGCATTTCTGCAGCTATTAAGGAAATCTGTTCTGAGGTGTAAAGATTTAATTAGAACATAGAACCTTTTGAGGTAACTTTAAGCTTGTATGCTCATAAGATTAATTCAAATATCAATTAATCCTTTGCTGCACAGATAGATGTGGATCTCCAGCAAAGGAGTTCCAGTTTCAGTGGAGTTCAAAGAGCACTTCACTTGAGGTCTGAATAGTTGAGTTTAGAGACCCAAGTAAGTCATATGATCTTTCTGAGCCGTTTCCTCTGTAAAATAAGTCTTTGGTCTATACAAATCTCCTTCCTCTTAAGTTTCTCACAGGAATTAAACGGAAATAAAAATATGCCTTGTAAAGTACAAGTTCTATAGAATCATATTGTTATTCCCTGGTGTGACCTCACCTTAAGTAGGCAGCACCTTTGCTCTAAACCACCTTGACAGTGATGTGAAGGCAAGCCTGAAGACACTCTGTGCCAGCAGTTACATCTTCAGAAGGACCTTCCATGAAGTCTACCAAATCCCAACAACTTCTTCCTAACACATTTCATTGATGCCCTGTGACAGGGTCTTAGATGACCATGGCTTTCAGTACGGTTACCATGTCACCTTCCTTGTGTGACATGTGTCACTGACCCACCACCTGCCTTTCCAAATGACTGGCTGTCACATCTGAAATGTATAATCTCTGCCACTAGGGGACACTGTAGTTACTAACCTGTAGGGTTCTTTCCCAGCCTCTCTTCATCTCTGCCATAGTTCAGACATGGAACCCTAACAGCTGCACAAGCTCTGCAGTGGCCCAGAAAATCATTATGTATTTACAGAGCACCCAAGCCACCATTCCTCACATGGCCAGCTCTGCCTTTAACTGGCTCTATGAGCCCTTGCAGTCCACAAAAGCCCCTCCAGTGGACTCTGCTTCTTGGCTTGTCTACTAAGCACTAAAATTTGTCCCAAAGCTAAGCTCTTCAAGACACATGATTTAAGCTTCTCTTTCAGCTAATTAGATATTGTTCTACAAATGGGCTGTTCTCTCTGAAAGATGAGCTGCAATTTACTTCCCCTGCCCTCTTCTTAAACTTAAACTGAACTGTAAAACATGGCCATTTGATTGTTTAGTACAATCAGGAGATGATTTTGCACAGAGAATAGATATCCATCTTCGTGCTAACAGTGAGCTCATTTGAGTATTCCTGAATGGCCGCTATGACGATGACAAAGGCTTTGCTTGGATGCCTTTCACCCTTTTGAAAGGTAGACCTTTTGCCTAACGTAAGTCCCTGAGTTCTATCCTTAGCACACAAAATAAATAAATAAATAAATGCAAATGAAGGGTAGCCCCTACAGTGTTTTTCTGGCCGGTTCATCCCTAGCCACTTCTGAGCATGCAATCACTAAGCAACATTAGCACATCTTCACTCTGCAAGGGGCAGATCTTTATTACCTCCACTTATTAATTAGAAAACTAATACTCAAGGAAGTCAGGCCATTTGGCTACAGTTGAGCAAATAGATAAGCTGAGAGGCCAGACCTCTCAATTCAGCAATTTGCTCCTCGGATCCCATAATACTATCTATTGTCTGATAAATTCACCATCAATTCAGGAGTAGGAATGTGAATGATGCAGTGTTCCCACACCCACAGTTTGAATTCACTGAGACTTTCTTACAGCTCTCATGAAGTACCAACCCTGAGTGAGACTCAAAAAAATCTTCTTTGATCCAAGGGGCTCTTGTGCATAGTGGGAGAAGACTCTTTTCTGGAAACTGCCTCTTTTCTTGTGCAGGAGGCCAGCTGTTCTCTCATCCTCAAGACTGTGCTCAGCATTTGATGAATGGAGACACTCTGAGTGGGGTTTATACCATCTTCCTCAATGGAGAGCTAAGCCAGAAGTTGCAGGTGTACTGTGACATGACCACAGATGGGGGTGGCTGGATTGTAAGTACACACAGCTTGCACATATTCTCAGAGTTCTAGTTTGCCTAGCTCAGCACTTTTCCATCAAAACTTCACCATCCTTCTGGCCATTCTTTCACCCACCCTCTCCACATCCATCTTGGGGCTCTTCACAACCTTCAGAGCCCTGGTTCAACAGCCTAATCACAGATCTGTCCAAGCACAGATAGGAATAAGCATATTGAGGTTAAAGCGGCCTGGCCCCAGGGCGACTGCCTCCATCTTGCTCCTTCTCCAAGGAGAGTGAAGGCAGGTGAGGCATGGGAAAAGGAAGTCCTGACTCAGAGAAGCCCACGGATCTTGCTGGCTGAAGACTGAAGCTATATTAAAACAGCTGAAGAGGAGGCCCCCTGCAGGAGGACATGGGCCTCCCATAGTGAGGTGACTGAATAGCTGCCTAGAGGGATGGGATGAGGGGCAGAACTTGGATAGTCATCCCTAGTTACAAGGGCTGTCACTGTCCTCATCTTTCCCTGGACCCCTGGTTCTTCCCTAAGACTGTCACAGTCTTCAGGGAGAAGCAGTGGTTGGGAAAAAGAGATACCACTGTCTGACCCACCTGCTTACAGGGCTGTACAAAGAGGAAGAAAAAGGGCAGCTACACAAACAGCCCTACCTCTCAATCAATGCAGGCCCCTGTGCCAATGGAAGAACTCCTGCAGTCTGGCCCTAAAGCCATCCAGCAGTCACTGAATTCGTGCAGGATAGAAACCCAGCCCCCTCCACCCTCCTGTACTCTTCCTCTCTAGAAGATTTTTCACGGTGCAAGATGTGTAGTTTAATGGTTAAATGGTGGCTGTGCTCATAACAGCTACTCTTGGGAGACATTTTCTTTTACGTTTCTGACGTATTTGTGCCTCCTTCTTAAAACATAATTGGAAATTGAAGCCGAGGGTGATGTATTGGAGGTTAAATGAAATTAGCACTTAAACAGCTCAGAAAGTGAATGATATGCTGTTGCTTTGCCTGCAATAGGAGGATGACAGTGACTAGATGATTTGAAGTTGGTCCTGTTCTTATGGTGAGAAATGCTTTTTATTACTCTCTGTGGTGCAAGAGATTAATTTGAGAGTCAAATCTATTTCCCCTGACTATTTGTAGCTTAATATGTATCCTGAATCCTTTCTACATTGCAAGGGTACAAATTAGCATCAACACCATACCCCAGCTTATTCATCAGAGACCTCTGTACTTCAAAAGAGGGGCTCTAAGCATCACCTACAAAACTGCTGTGTAAATTCCAAGCTCTATTCTCCTATGTTCCTAATCTGGGCATCTTTGTCATTGCCATATAGAAACCAGTTATATCAATTTTATTCACTACAGTTTATCTTCCTGAGCACCTTATTTTTTCTCCTTTCTCTTCATAGGTATTCCAGAGGCGGCAGAATGGCCAAACTGATTTTTTCCGAAAATGGGCTGATTACCGCATTGGCTTTGGGAACCTGGAAGATGAGTTTTGGCTAGGTAACACCTGTTTTTTGCTTTCCCATGATGGGTTGCTCTGGCTTTTTGTCCATCTCTCTTCTTCCTGTCTCCATCTGGGATTATCAGAAATCCTGTGTCCACTGAGAAGTTGACAGCTGGTGAATTGCTTTCAGTACCTCTTGCTCTGTTTGGCTTCACTATTGATCTGTTTTTGTCCTACTGTGGTGTTTTCCACTTTGCTCTGTCTCTTCCCATCCTCATTAATAGTCTCTTATGCTGATGGGTCTTGATGTGAAGCAACTATAAAACCAGTGAGCTTCCTGGAAGGCAAGGAGCACAGGGAGCAAATGGTAGGCTGTCCCTCTCTCAGAAGCCAGGCAACCAGCCAGCCAGCCTATAGATCAGGAGAGAAATGAGGCCAGTCATTCTGCTCAGTTCTTGAGAAGGAAGGGGGAGGTGGATTAAAAGTGACCTTAGAGGTGATTGGCAATTTCCTAGAGGTTTGACAATTCAGGTTTAGATGGATGTTTAGATGATGTGAGCTTGAGTGTAAACACACACTCAAGCCAGGTGGCAGTGGTGCTAATCCAGAAATCAGTCTATTATCTACATCTCCCAGTTGCTAAGATTTTCATAGTGATTGATAAAAGGGGGGCCAAGGGAAAGGCAAATGGTCATGTTCCACATTGGTAGTCTCCTCTCTGTCTCTCCTGTTGCCATCTTACCCAAGCTTCCCTGTCTTTTCTTGGTTGCCTGGGTAACAACCTTGTAACCAGGGTTCCTGCCTCCAGGACCACCCCATTGTCTACACCACTATGAGAATGACCTTCCTCATACCTTAGATCTGAGCAAGGGTTAACCCATTTTGTAAAGTCTTTCAACTTCTTCCCATCATCACCAGGTGAAAGCCAAACACCTTGGCCAAAAGTACAAGGCCTCTCTGTTCTCCACCACTAAGTACCCCTGCTTTTCCTCCTGTCTCCCCTGCTCAAACTCCAAACACATGGAATCACGGATCTTTCCCCTGCAAGGAACACTCTCTCAGCCAGTTGTCCCCCTCCCTTGTACATCTTGGTGTCCATCTACATATATTCAAAGACCCAGAGCTTGTCCTATTTTTTTCACCTGTCACCTGTGGAAGAATTGACCACACTCTTTAGCGGCCCATATCAAAGTGTATGTTTCACTTCATCTCTCTTGATTGTATTATACAAGTTTCTTTCAGGGCTGGGACTATATCACATTCATCTGGGGACAGTGATGCCTGAAGTACAGGTATCAGTCAGTCAAGGATAAGAACTTGTTGAGTACTTATTAGGTAATCAAACCTGTGTTTGCTGATATAGGTGATAAAAATATAAGTTAACAACCATATAGAGACAATGAGAAAGAAGTCAAACAAACAGGAAAATATGCTTACCTTTAAAGCATTTGCATATTTGGTAAAAAGAGGGTAATGCACATGAGTCAATGTAAGCACAATAGACAGGACTTTTGTTTCCCAAACCTAAGCCACTGTGGACCACTTTTACAATTTTGGTCATAGTTGTGAAATATATAAATGAACAACACTTAAATTTTCTCTATGTCACTTTTTATTTAATTAACTCTATCCACTGCCAAAAATAGAAAGCTAGTTATCATGTACCATAAATAAAAGGATGCCTCAAAAATAAAAGGAGTGAAATGAAAGCAATAATAAATGACAGTTAAATGCAGAGTCCATGCCTACTGTTGTAGCTGTAGTCAGTGGTATTGCAAATGGGTATCAGAAAGTGTTATGTGTTAAACCACAAAACTTTAGAACCAAACCGAGACTAAGAGTTAAGACTAAGATTAGGGTTAGGGTTTCTCTTTCACCTATTAAGAAAAACTGATGGGCCAAGGGTGTGACTCAAGTGGTAGAGTACCTGCCTAGCAAGCACAAGACCCTGAGTTCAAACCTCAGTGCCACCAAGGAAAAAAAAAGAAAAAAAATTGAAATACCCTTCTTACTATTTGTTCAAGGTTATTTAATGCCTATTTCCCACACATTTCTTATGCCATCAAGATGCCATCCCACACTGAGAAACACCCCTTACTAACCTATGAGCTTTTGACAAGGAAGGAAGAGAACAAATTCATGATGAAGACATTGGGGAATGAGTCAGAAGAATGGAGGAGAAAAGGGAACAAGAAAAGATGAGCAGGAATCCTCCCTAGGGACAGGGAGGAAACCCATCCAACCAGAGGAAAGGTACAAGTCAGAGAAAGAAGAAAAACTAGGGTAGGTGGGTTGAATGAATACGCATTACAGAACTTAAAAGTTGGAAAGAGGAGTCTTGATGTTGTGATAGGGAGCCAGTGAAGATTCTTAAAATAGAGGTAAACCTGGTGATATGTGGCTTGGCAGCAATACTTAGGTTTGGGGTAACACTATAACTCCTGGTTTGTGTCCTAAATTGGGTCTTTAGGAGCAGAGTATGAAATCGGTGTTCTTGTTCAAGATTCCTGTTCAAGTTGTTAATTTGGCAGGGGAGGATGTTCTCATTCAAATGAGTTATTGGGGGAGTTCTCCAAGACAGGGAATGGCAGGAGCAGGATAGAGCAAGGAAAACTGTAAAGTCAGGTTTTTGCCTAGCAATGTGCTTCAGTCTGATCCCAAAGGAAACTCTGGAGCATGAATTGCTCATCAGAGTTGGTCCCCAGTTGGCAAGGAAGCCAACTTCTACAGCCCAACTTCCCTAACCAGCATCTGCCCTGAGACATGGGGGAAGCAAAGATGAAGTGACTTCCATTTGGTCAAAGGCAATTATCCAGGAAAGAGGCAGCTGTGAATTGTTAGCAGGCAACACTTCTAGCAGCTGAGGGATGGGCCCAATTGGGCCCAATTGCTATTTAAGGGAACCCAGGCATGACATCACCTGCAGCCATCACATCTGCACAAGAGCAAGTCTAGTACAGGCTGTGGGTTAGCAGATCTGCAAACAGCAGTCAACAGCCTTCCACTTGCAATCAAAGTAAAGCTTTAAATCTTAGGCAGGATAAAGAAGCCAAGAGATCTGGGTGACCCTCAGCCAATCACTTTGCCTCTCTCGAGTTTGGCTTCCTCTTCCACAAAACAAAGAGATTGGTCTAAGTAATCTCTAAATTCCTTTCCACCTCAGCATTTTTTTTAATTCTAAATCATGGCACTTGGATGTCATAGCAAAGCAAGAGGATCCAGTTTCACTAGTCAGAAATCAGGAAGGCTCAGGGATCACCAGCAATGCAAGGTGAGTGGTTCAAAGTTTGGGGAGACAGGTCAAAATCAGAGTCCCAGGTCAAATAGGAAAGAAAATATATATGAAAAAATATCACCAAAGGGATTCTGGGCTCCACCCAGACTTTGGACTTACAGAGGTTTGTAAGAATCTATTAGCTCAAAGCCTGGATGCTTAGAGGAGAGGACTGTACCACCCTAAAGCTGGAAGTTCATGAAGAAAGTTGAATCATGGTAAGTCTGGAGCTATCTGTATTCTCTAGCCTGACTCTGCGAGCCCCAAGAGGTGGTCAGAAGGAGGGACAGTACAAAGAAAGGTGAACAGAACAACTCGAGAGGCTACTGTAAAATTTTAGAATATCTGGATATCCTGGATGCTCAGAACTCCTCTGACCCATATTTCTACCTCTTGCCTCCTTCCATTCATACCAAAGGATTCACCCCCATGCAATGCCTCTTGTCATTTTCTTTCAACACTATGACTTGGCATAGAAGTTGGTAGAAGGCCAAGGCTCAGGGCCTGTCAGTTACTGGTTCAAGACTAGATGTTGGGACCCAACAAAAACGGTCTCAGGAAACGTGGGCTGGCCTCTTTGCAGAGTGTGGCAGGGTCTGTCTGATACCAAACTAAGAAGGGTTGAGAGAAAAGACAATCTGAATGCCCCTTCTCTTCCCTTCTGTTTTGAGTTCACAGCACATTGTCCTCTCAATACCAAAGCTACTGGGGTCCAGGCTCAGTGCATGCTCTGCCCTTCTCCACAGGGCTGGACAACATACACAGGATCACCTCCCAGGGCCGCTATGAGCTTCGTGTGGATATGCGGGATGGACAAGAGGTGGCCTTTGCCTACTATGACAAGTTCTCTGTGGAGGACAGCAGAAGCCTGTACAAACTCCGCATAGGAAGCTACAACGGCACTGCAGGTACCTGTGGGCCCCGGACAGACCCAAGGGCAGTGACATGGAGCAGGATGAGGGCCCAGGTTTCCAGCCTGCACTCCTACAAGAAGCAGCAGCACCCACAGAATTCATGATTCTCTGGTAGCCAGGGAGGAGGGCCAGATGGCTGGGGGTCACTGACTCTGGTCCTAATCTTCCTAACCATTCAGGGGACCTGAAATCAATTTCTCAGTACATTTGTTTCCTCATCTGAAAAACCATAGTAATGATGATTGTCCTACATCACAAAGTAGTCAGAAAAAAATGCAATTCATGTCTTTAAAGTAAAAAAAAAAAAATGTAATGTAACAGCAAATGATTGCTTCTCTTATCTAGATTAATCAATATGGACTCTTATCCAAGAGGGAGCAGAACCATCTCATCTGTGTAGAAATATCTCCTGCAATAGCAGGCAGGAATACTACCTTTGAACAAAAGAAAAGAATACAGATTCCCCACTCTTCTTTGATGCCCCATCACCCCACTATCAGCAGTCATCATAACGCCCTGTCAAAGAGCCCATTGCTACCAGGCAGAACTGAGCCACTAACAGTTCTATCAGAATACAGCATCCAATCTGCAACTCAGGCTTTGCCCATTTGCCCGTCTGTTTCCTATGTTCTGTTATAACCCATTTCTTAAAGCCTGTTGTGCCAGATACTCTACATAGAGTTATTGGTCCTTTCATTACTCCAATTTTAGGGCTAAATGCTAGTATTTAATTTTAGCAACATTTCTTATGCCTCTTAGAATTAAGAAGAACATCAAGGTGTTGCTCTTCCAATTACTGCATCTGCTCAATTATTTCTTTTCTCGGCCAGGTATTGTTATTCCAAAGAGAAGACACACTCTCCTTTGTTATTGTTCATATTTGAGGTCATTCGCAATGGCAATCAGACAAGCCTGAAGAGCCCCAACAAAAGGTCCAATTTGCCACACTTTGAGCATAAAATAGCCATTGAAATGGACATATTAAACAAGATGTCAGACTAAATCATTTCAAAAATAACTGGATGCTATTCACTCCCTAGGATTAGAATCATGCCTGTAGAAAAGCCATTCTTGTTTCTCCTACACGAAGAGAAACAAACCCTCCCACTTGTGAGCATGTCTCCCCCCTCCTCTGTCCTCTTCATCTCACTCCTTCCAAGCCCATGCTTTAACTATCTACCTTGGGTTCAACCCTACCCCCACCCCAAGGAGTTGATGATTAAAGAAAGGGTTACTTGGAGTCTCTACTTGTATTTCCTATACAGGGGTAGGAAATGTTACTCTTTTTTCCCATTTCTCCCCACTTTTATCCTGTTATGCTAAATTTCTTTCCTAATAAACCATACTATTATTTTTACTACAAAAAAGAAAGGATTACTAGAGAGTAGGATTAATCCAAGGATTTCCAAGATAAAAAATATGAGTATGACTTAGGATAAGAGAAGGTAAAAATGCTAAGAAATAGAAGAGAGAAAGGAAAAATAAGGAATCTTTTCTTCTTTTTCCAGAATGGGGACAAGATGGCAAAGTATAGGTTATAAGTAGTGGGATTAGCTTAGATGAACACAAAATCTGAATCCTTCAAGGTTGGAAGGAGATGAAGAAAATGGTATGGAGACAATTAGGGCTCCAAGATTCCCTGTAAAATAAAGATTGACTAGCCAAGAGTTAAGTTGTGATAGGATTCATTAAAGGCACTGAGTGACCACTTTGGGTATAACTTAGAAGTCACAGAATCAGAACTATGTCCCTCCTAGCAGAAAGCAACCTCAAGTGCATCTAAGATTACTTTTATTCAATAAAAAAGCATGAATTCCCTTCACAACATCCCTAGCCACAAATTCTGCCAAAAGTTTTACCAATCCTTATAAACAAATGATGGACTGATACCTCACCTCAAATACTCAATTCATAAGAGGACACTGCAGCATATCCCGAACAAGAAAGCACCCCATTTGCCTATGAGAGTAGAAATCTCACCACAGCTCTAGGCAGCCCAGACCTCATGTGAACAGCTCTAATAATTAGGTAATTTCTCCTCTTATATTTAGACACCCATTAATTCTCAAACTTTCTCAGAGAGCTTATTTAACTTTTTTCTCCGTAGCCCATCAAATATTTGGCAAGAGTGATTATAGACCCCGTCTCCTCCCCTTGGCCTGCTCTTCCCCAAGATATAGCCCATTTTCCTATCAACTTCTTCTTTGATATGGCTATGATGTTTTCATCCCCTTGTTTCCTGTATATGGAAACTCTAGTTTGCTAATGTCCCTCTTCACAGGTGGCACCAAGTTCTGAATGTGGGGTTCTAGCCAGGGCTGGTGAGGCTAGGTGAAAGCCAGGCTAAGCCTACACAGTGGAGACCCAGAATGGTCCAAATCATCACTGCCTCCAATGGAGAAAAAAGGAACCATGAGTGTTCTGTGTCCCAGTGCTGGCCTGGGAGAAACACACAGGGGCATTGAGATAGGGCTAGAGTTCTCAGCAAAAGGCCAGGGGATGAGGAAGTAGATTGGAAAGAGCAGTGTGGAAGCAGTAACTCTGCAGAATTGGTCAGCATAGCTAGGCAGAGGAAATGAATAGAATAGGAGAGGTAAGCAAAGGTACTATAAGTGGAGGCCAGGTTTCCTGGAGAGGGTCAAATGGCCAGAATGTCCTAATAACCCAGAATTATTTTTAAAATTCTGGCCCAAGAGGGATAGCCTCATGAATATTCCTTTTTTTTTTTTTAACAGGAGACTCTCTCAGCTATCACCAGGGGCGGCCTTTCTCCACAGAGGATAGAGACAATGATGTTGCTGTCACCAACTGTGCCATGTCATACAAGGGTGCTTGGTGGTATAAGAACTGCCACCGGACCAACCTCAATGGGAAGTACGGGGAATCCAGGCACAGTCAGGTAGGTGATACTCTGCTGTTGTCAGGAGTGGTCAGAGCACAGAACCATTGCCCTTAGCTCTATATTTTAATGCCCATGTTAGTCTTATATTTCCTTTTGAAAAAGAAGTACTTTGAGTCTGGAAAAAAGACTATCCTAAAGAGAAAAGTAATGCAGATGCTGGGATAAAGACAGGGCAGAGTGGAAGTCCAAGGAAAGAAAGGAAAGTCTACAGATCAGGAACTAGAACTCACCAAAGAGGCCTTATGATCAATAGTTTCCATTTCATTTCCTTGTGGGAGGAGCTCATTAATTAAGGGACAGCATTACAGGCACAACAGCACCCTAAGAAGGGACCAAGGAAGGGAGAGATGAGAAATACGCAGTAAGCTGGCTTATCTTTCCCTAAGAAACTACAAGTCCCAAGGCTGGACTGGGTTGCAGGGAGCCAACTGGAACCTTCCCAATTTTGATACTGGAAGGTCTTATCTAGGGAAGCACCTTAGTTCCAGACAATTCCAGATGTTCAGTCATCCCAGGTGGAAGCCACCTGGGTCTCCCATTAGGAATAAAAAGTCAAACAGTTACACTCTTCAAAACACCTTCACACTATAGGGATTTTGAAATTCACCACCATCTACTGGTACATACAACTTCTGAAAGCCAAAACCATACAGCTAGCAATAAGGAATGACCCAAAACACACTCCCAGTAAAGACTTAGACCATGGGACTATTTAAAGGGAAAGCTCGAAAGAGATTTGGCTCCTTTCACTTTATTGGGAACTCAGCCACAAAGCTGAGTTAACTGAGAAGAGCTAAATCTACTTATTGGATTTCTGGCTCCCATCATTCCCCTTCTTCTGAAGTAGGATGATCCATCCAGGGAGGAGGGTGATCTGACCTGTTCATCTTTCTCATGCCCAGGGGATCAACTGGTACCATTGGAAAGGCCACGAGTTCTCCATCCCCTTTGTGGAAATGAAGATGCGGCCCTACAACCACCGTCTCTCAGCGGGGAGGAAACGGCGGGCCTTACAATTCTGAGCAGAGGGCAGCCACAAGCCAAACTATCTTTTCTGTCATTTGTTTGTATTTTATAATACGAGATGAGGCAGGGGGTACTAGAAATGTGCTTTGCAAAGAGTATTTGAAGGAAGCAGGGATGTAGCAGGGATCTGTTGACTACCATCTGCTCATAGTTTTTGCTGCCTGGAAGCCTGACCCTCGGGTTACATTCTCCCTCCTAAACAGTCAGCTCTAGCCATCCTCACCTTTCCCACCAAGAAGAAAAAGTGGGGAGTTTGTTTAAGAGACCAGATCAAAGGCAGCCATGGAGTTAAGTTGACAGGCACATACCTTCTTTCTCTACTCTCTGAAAGCCCCTTCACCTCCCAGGTATTTATGATCTGGTCATGTACTTCACTGGCCAGTTAATCACACCAGCCCAGAGACGTCTCAGCAAGAGAGCTTGGCCAAAAACTCCCATTAAGAGGGAAGAGATCAACTACCCTCTGACCCAACAACCTAAGTCCTTTAGAATGGGCCAAAAATTCTCATCTTCTGCAACTCTTACCTTACAAAAGTAGTGACCTCTTTTCCAGCCCCACTCAATCCTTTGCTTAATTTCATTCTATCTTAGATGCTATAGTCCCACCAACCCAACCTTTGTTTTGGAATCTAGTTCCCAGGGTACCTCCCGCTGCTGGCCCTGGGTTTTACAGTGGTCCTATCCCTGTGAGTTTCAGGCCACTGTTCCTCAGGTCAGTTAGACAGTAACTTTTTTGGTGGTGGAAGAGATTGGTTTTGTTTTTAGCACTTTGGGTGTAGACCTTGAGGAAAGGTCAGAAGAAATTGAAGTCAAGTCACCTGCCATAAAGATTACAGGTTCCATGGAAAACACAAACCTTCCCCAGCTCCATTTTCTCCGTCTCTGATCTGATTTATCATGGATTTTTTTTTTCTCAATCACAGCTGAAAGCCTGTCCCCAGCCAGGCTCCCCTTGATAAAGATGGCTTTAATAAAAGTCAGAAGAGGTTATATGACCAGATAGTCATTCCCGCAACTAATAGTCCTGGAAGGAAGTAGAATATTTAGTTCTGGGGATTTCTTTTTTTTCTTTCTCTCTCTCCTTTTTTTTCCTTTTGGTCCTGTGGGAAATGACCCCTTAATGAGGTGAGATCATGAGAAGTGTTTCTCCATATTCTTGTATTATTCTGCTTTTGAGAGAAGAAATGAAAAGTGCCAGAGGAAATTACATCTAGAATCCAGGGATAGACCTGTTGCCCATGTGATGAGATGTGTTGTCTCCAGCATCATGATTTGATTTTTAAGCCCAGAAGAGCTGGAGGCTCTAGGAGCCATTACCTTTCAGCTTCTCAAATCAAATGCCAGCTGCAGCCCTCCGTGCAACATCTACCCAAATCCATGCCCAGGTCCCCACTGCCTTCTCCCTGTCCTCATCCTTTCCTCAAGGAAAGGATCTATTCTGCTGTAGGGCCCCTGTACGTCACACTGTACCTTTATGACATACAGGGCACAAAGGGCATCTTGTACCTTTGCCAATCAGTTACTGGATGAGCTGACCATTTTCTAACAGAAACACTCTCACTTTAACCAAGTTTTGAACACAGAAAGACAGTCCCTTGGGCTGTGTCACATACTTCTGGTGTTATAAGGATGGAGTCAGCCTGCCATTTTCTGTAGCTGCTCTCTGGTTATAGGCTCCACAAGGTCCGTCCACTGCTGTGGTGTGGACATGATGGATATACCTAAATCCGAAAAATGTAGGTAGCATTTTCATTCTAAATTCACAATGGGCTTCAAAAGCTAAGAAAAGGAGGAAAGAGAAACTAATAAGTTGGAAGAATAGAAAGCACACTCAACAAAGAACTTGTTAAGGTACAGGCCCGCCTCTGAGATTTTGATAGCCACATGAGCTTGGGTAAATTGTTTCACCTCTCTGGGCCTCAGTTTCCTTACCTGGTAAATGAAAGATTAGACCAGAATGATTTCTAATTTCCCTTTCAGTTTTAACAGTCAATAATACTATTGTGTGAAAATCTGAGTAGAAATTGGCATGTGCTGGTGAAAGAGCCCAATTAAGTAATGAAAATTCACCAAAAGCCCTGAGAGAGAGAAGAAAGGAAAGAAGGAAGGAAGGAAGCAAGGAAGGAAGGAAGGAAGGGATTTAAAAGTCAAAAATAAAACACACACACACACACAGCAGAAGAGAGTACCAAGAAGAGGCTGAACCTGTTGTGTCTATAAATGCAAAGCCAGAGACCTAGGTGTGCCAATACAGCCTACCTCATCAAGGGAACTGAAATGGAACAAGATTGTGTGTCATCAGTTCAGGTGAAAGTCAAGAAACATCAGTGGAAACAAAAACCTGCCTTTCTTCAGAGACATTTTACCCTGTGGAACATTTTTATAAATAGTATCAGCAATGCTGCCTAGATTCATTTTAAAGAATTTTAAAGTGAGAAAGGGACTTCAAAGATCAGTTCATCCAACCCTCTATAAAATGATTCATAGATTCCCTTTGTTAAGTTCTCATGAGGTTTTTTTTTAAACCGTTTTTTAGGAGATTCTGTTCCAGTCTTCCCAAGGCATGTGATCAACTTGACTCAAAGCTTCTGAACTCACTTAGTTTCTCACTGAACCTCTTAACTAACAGGCTGTTTCTGAACGAATTCCTTCTCATCCTATCCTTCCAAGCATCTTTGCTTGTCTCAAAGGAATCAGAACTCAGAAAGCACCCACCATAGGGCTGGGGGTGTAGCTCAGTGGTAAAGTATTCACCTAGCTTGCGTGAGTCATGGCTTCCATCCCCAACATCATAAATAACTAACCAAATCAATAAAGCTTGTACCCTAATCACACTGAGAACTCCCAGAAGGGACTCAGAAGGAACAGAAGTGAATCCAGTCCAGAAGGCAGCCTAATTGCAGACACTTCAGGATATACACTTATACTATTTAAAGAAAAAAGAAAAACAACTAGCAACAACAAAAAATGACAACAAATGACTGCAATAGAGTTGCTACCTAGAAACAAAAGCCAGGCAGTTTCTCCTCTTTGCATGCCCCATCATATAAAGATAGTTTCTAACATATTATACTCACATTTTCCATGGTTACTTCTGGAAGGTGAAGGGGTCAGATGTGAAGAAGGAGTGTCAGAGATGACAAACCTATGGAAAGCGCTGACCATTAGAGCTGATTTAACTGGTGGGGGCATCAGGGAGGGAATTTGCCAACAATGACCACAAGGTGGCACTCACAGGGCCCACATACCCACTGAAAGCAGTGCTCAACTAAGGGAGCTGAGAACAGGAGGGTTTTCCTGGTTTCAAGGAGACCTCATACCAAAAGAGTACCCAGGATTGATTTGAACAGAAGACTGATTTATGAAAGAACAACAACGTGGCAGCAAGGAAATGCAGAACAAATTTCCACAAATATTTAAATCACCTTACCCCTCACCTATTAACTCCCCAACTCCACTACTGATGAAGTGGTAGAATGCTTACCAACCTGTTTCCTTCCACCTGGGAACCAACCAGCTCCCCGCAGATTAAAAACTGTTATTTCAAAGACAAACTTGAGAACCAGGGTTGCCAATGAACTCAATGCCAAACCAAATAATACTAAACACATTTCTACTTTTAAATTCTAGTCTCAGAACAGAGCTATAGATTAGACAAAAGATCATTATGAAATCTTTTCAAAGAGCTCTTTGTAAAGCATCAGTTGAGAAAGGGTTTAGGTTTATGGGCTTCTCTTTGTCCTCTTCTCTGGAGAAAGAAAAACAGAACCTGTGAGAACAGTGCATCCACCAAGCTGAGGGGGTTGAAAAAAACTATTGACTGGATTTGCAAATGCTCCTGGGATATGGACTTTTTTTTTTTAACCTCCACCCAGAATTTCAGGAAAGGTGGAGCCACTTACCCAGGATATATGCTTTTCTACTGCTTGCTTTCTTATCACCAGATTTCTATTAAATGTAATTTGTTAGTCCCATTTATTTCCCTTCAAAGCAAGGGGAAGTAGAAAAGGGGACACTTTCTACCTCTACTTGCATCACACTTCCACTCGAAAACTTTGAAAAGAAAACTCTGAAAAATGCAAACTCACTTCAATTTCTATAATCCGACAGAAGGTGAGATAATTTTTTCACTTGCCTCAAATTTATCAAGGCTATAGGAAGGGTTTTGGGGCCTCAGAGGCCTAACCTAACCTCCATGGGTGGTCTGTTTTTCTCCGGGTAACATGAGAGAGATTTTCTATCCTCTGTAGGAGGGCAATCATGGGCTGGCTTCTGGGTTATACCTGTAGCCTCTGTCTAGCTGTACCATCAGATCATTTACCACATTCCTGAAGCTCTTTAGCTGTTTCCCTAAACCTTTGTTTCTTATATCACCCAACTCCTCACATAAATGATATCCTCATATCATTCATAAATTCATAAATGTTATCCTCAATAATACTGGAGCATTTTGACGCTACCAGGCCAAATGAGAACTAAAAGACCAAAAGAAAATTTCCAAAAGCAAGTAAAAAAAGCAAATCTACTGTGCTTTAAGAAAAAGAAAAATGGGGCTGGTGGAGTGGCTCAATGGGTAGAGAACCTGCCTAGCAAACAGGAGGCCCTGAGTTCAAACCCCAGTGCTGCAAAAACGAAAAAGTAGCTCTGGTTCATTTTAACTGTATCTACCCTGGACTTGCTTAAGCCAGTTCTGTGTTCTTCAAGTTCCAAGAAACAGCCTGGAAGAAGAAAAAATTTTGAATTAAATAAAAGACTAATGGATCCTTGGAGAGAAAAAGCAAGCCTTCTGTAGATGGTCCCACAGTGCAGATGCAGAGATCAGGCATGAGTAGCCAGGATAAAGGTACCAGCACTGGTTTCTCAAGTTCTGGCTGACCTCAAACCAGAGCTTCTATTGGTTGCTCACTTCACTCCAGAGGTCTCACTGCCCAGAAAAGAAGCAGAGGCTTTCTTTGCTTCAACCAGTCCTGCCTGGACCTCACTTTTCTTCAGCAGC